AAATACTTTGACTTCTTCTCTATGTTCAAGAAGATGGTTTTGCTCTGTGATTTTTGTGCCACTTCCTCGACATCGGCCCTCTTTGAAATTGACGGGTCTGGCGCAGCAACTTGGGCGTATTCGGTCAGAGTCTTTTCTAGAACGTGAGTGACTCCCTTGCATTCAAAGTTTGCTTTCATTAGCCTGAACCAATTTTCATGGTTAAGCTTAGAGAGTTTTTCTCCCCCCCAATGGCCGGCGTCTTCCATCATGATGTGTTGCGTTAGACGATTTGTGTCGGATCGTCTGTGTTAGTTTGTGAATTCGAGTCGTATTTGTTGAAGTCCCGACGTTGCCGAGTGATGAATTGTAAAATAAAATTGGCCCCCGGCCAAGGTTGAACGCTCAGAAATTCCGTTTACGTTCCTATTGTAAGACGGTATTCTAGCACGAATCCTTTCGTGCAGCTTTTCGGCTTTCAGTACAGTCCTGTCGTACTTCACGGTCCTATTGTGCGCCGATAGTGAGTGAGTTGAATAACCTATGACCTACGGCGTAAACCGGGCTCATAACCTGTTAAAAAGAAGCACCCTACTGTGTAATTATCACCGACAGAGTACTAATGTGCAAGGGAAGCAAGAAGGTAGGTTCAATAGGGTTTTAGATTAACTGGCTCTAGAATCTAACGGGAGTAAGTCTTCTATTAGTACCACACTCAATCTCGCTTCCACGCGACCAACATGGCTAGCCTCATACATCAAGAGTGTGTTATCCCTGCTACGCACTGACACATTTACAATAGATACCATTATTTCCCTTCAGCCAAACCATTAGTCTTCAGCAGTCACTCGTCTTCAGCAATCTCTCGTCCCTTCAGCCAAACCTTTAGTTCCTCTCAGTGACCTCAAGTACCTCATCAGATATCTCCTCTATATATCCCTCTTTTCTATTATTACTCACTCCTACCCAAACCGTCGCTCCGATCTGACAAACCGAAAAGAAAGTACATATAGCCCTGCGGGCTAAGTGCGCCAAGATCTCACGTGAGACATACTGAGCTCTAAACGTTTTACCTGACGTTATCTGTGAAAATATTCTGTAGCTGTTTGTATTCATGTAATCATGTACGAGTCGTAATTCTGTAACTATCTATATTCGTGTTATCTACGACTCGTAAACTTGTACTAGTATTAGTCGCTCCTGATAGTTGCTGTTTGCAATATTGGAACTAATCATGTTCTTACTTCATACTTAGGACTATTTGACACATTAAGCTTGTACAATAGTATGGAGAGATTATATGGTCTGTACGTGAGTGATCGGATGAAGGACGGAAGGACTTGTATTTAAAGAGAGATGTAATACTTCAAAAAAATGAATTAATCACATTTCTTCACTCTGAGATAAACTTCTTAGTCCCAATTTATCATCATTTTTCTATTGCCAAAGCGGCTTACCGTCTTCATGGATCTGTAAATAGATACCGCATAAGACGTTAAACTAGAGAAATGAATGAATACTACGGGTACTTTTCTTGTGTGTAAATCTCACGGAGCTGTATGACCAGCGTTGCGTAGGTTACGAGTTGTTACATATATGGAGTGTAGTGATATTTGTTAGGCGTAGCTCTATAGTATGGTGAATCTAGTAGCTGGTGCATAGATATTTATTATGGTGTTGTGGTATTACGGCGCATTAAGGAGGTGAAGGAGATGAAGTCTCAATTTAACGGCATTACAAGTACTACTGTGTGCAGTACGTAAGATGGGTTGTTGATATAGGACAAATGGCACATCTTCTCAGTTGGAAGCACACCTCTATGCGCTGCATACTTGTTAAGTGATCAGTCGGCAAGCGAACTAGCTAGGGGATAATAGACGAGATTTCCTTCATCTAAACCACAGAAAACAACCATAGAAGCCTCACTCCTGCATTTCAATCAAGTTATCTCTCCATGAACTATCTTAGCTGCTCCAGCGCAAGTGTACATTCTCAAATCATATACCAATCATAAAAACAATTCCTATGTGAAGAAGTATGAAGGCAGCCTAAGATATGGTTTTCACGGAAAAGGTAAAGTTGGTAACAAATGAGTTTGGTACAAGAACAGTGGTCTTAGAAAAAAGATAAGTATATGAGTATAAGGGACCAGTGTAAATAGAATGCGTTGCATAAAAAAGACTACTCCTTCACGCTGGGTACATATCTACATGAAATAACAGAACAGCCCATAGATTCTGTCTCAAACAGTTCTACCGCGCGATCTCTATGAAACAAACCTGTTTGCTTGTTTAGAAATTGTTGTGATGTGATTATTGCATTTACTCTAAATTTATCTCTGCCAAGTGCCAGGGATACAACACATCTATGCGAGCACTGCACAGCCCTACATGGCTATCATTACGATCGACTACTGAGGCGCAGCTCTATACAATGGCATAGAGTAATGTGGGATAGTATTGCATGGAATTAAGATTGTAGTACTTCATGCATAGACGGTGATGTACTGTATAGCGGGTGCCGAATATGTGTATATAAGTCCTATCTACTACTGTGATATGTAGAATAATATAACCAAGCTATTCATCATATTGTCAAGCTCTGATAATACTTATCCACCCTCTGCACTATCTCTAGAATATTCAATATCTCATACCTACTCATACCTTAATTACAACAGAAATTCGATCTAACAGCACGTTGTGTTTTGGCACGGAACTCCCCATGAAATAACATCCTAAATTTCACTACGTTTATCCATGTAAATTTCCCACAAGAGGCCTGTCGTGAAGTGTTCCAATACGGAACTGCTCTCAGTGCCCATCAGATTACATTTTATAGATTAAATATATATAGTTTCATTTACTTAGCGCTAGTAGGAAGGCTTTCGCTGTTCTTCGTTGTCGTTGACGCATTTGAGACTTACATTCTATTCTATTCCATTCCTCAATGCCATGCTACACTCGGTACAGGCGTGGTATCCCAAAGCACATCTAAAGTAGTGTTTCATCCACTGGCAATGGACATACATGCATGCGTCACGTGATATGGCAGCTCGATGTCACTAGGTCCCTGGTGCTCACTAGATTTGGGACTGTCCCTGAACAGAATTGTTTTGTGCCAATTATGGAAACGAGCATCTTCAAAGGTAGAAATGGAGTTGCTGTCGATTCAGGCCTAAAAGGTGTTGTGTTATCCATGTAACTTACCATGGTACATGCTTTAGGTCGCGTCATAGCATATGCACGTGACTGTGGAACTAAACCGTGGGGTGTTTAGTGTGTAATGCATGTGTGGGTATACTGGACCAAACTAGAACTCGATGGAATAGAGATAATGGAATCAGCGGGAGACTGATAGACTGAGAGAGAACGAGCTGATCATTTCTCGTAGGAGAGAAATGATATCATAAGGGAATGTTCTAGCACTAGGCTGTGAACAACACAGTAAGTCTGGAGCAAGATATAAGGAGGTCTCAACCTCCGTCCATTCATTTGTAACTAAGTTTCCTTTATACGAGAATATAGAGTCAAGTCTTACATATCACGAGAACACACGCGACAGCGACTATAGAGACCTACTGTGAGCATAACTTCCCCAAGAGTATCCATCGTCCTGCTCCCATATAGCCTAGTTAATATAACAAAAGGGGAGTATTCATCAAGTCCGCTTCGAGCTTTCAAAACGTGCAGCAGTGATCCAAAGGTAGGTTATTCAATGTTTACCTACTCGAACATTAGATACAATTAATTATAGCCAGAATTTCACTAAGGTTGCTAGCAAGAAATCTGATGCATCAGAGATGTGACCAGAGCGACCATGAAAGGTGGTTGTAAGCTCTACAGCAGTACGCAATACAGGAATACCCGTGATGTTGAGAGTCCCAGTTAGAAACCAGAACGGAAAGATTGGTGGTAACATTCCTTACCATTAGAGGAGTTTGAGCTGTGGGGAGACAGAATTGATGCAACAAAAAAATACTCTCAGGATAAAGCTGGTTGTTGGCCCAAAATAACAAAAATTAATTCTGTGACCGGAAAACTTTATCTCTTCTTCATAGTGATAAAATTAGATGCAGACTAGGACTAAAACAAGAACAAATCCATCATTAAATAAAAACACTCTCTGCTAGCAAGACAGAAATATGAATAGCTTTTAAACACGTCCTTTTATTGTCTAATACCTGCCTACTGTCATTCTGAGGAAATATGAACCAGAAAATTACAACACATTTCTCATCAAAATCTCTGTGACTAAGATCACCCCTTCTGAGTATGAATCCAAAACACGTGTCTACTTACGTACCCTATTGTCTTAGTTTTGCCTATCAGGGAAGATTGTTCCGTCTTTTTCCAGTCCAGAAAACCTGCAAATAAATTCCAAATTATTCTAAAGCTTTATTCTATATTATTCCAGCAAAATGAACATTTATCAGCGGCCTGTGGTCAAAGGGAACAGCAATTGTGTGAAATTCATTGATGTATCTTACCTCTAATCTGCGCAATGACTTCGTCGAAAGCCCCGATCATGTCTCTGTACACAGGTTCGTATTTGATAGGTGTTCCAAAGTTGACTTGGCCATCTCTGAATAAGATTTTATATAACTTCCACGCAAGTTCTTTTAAGTCGCCAAAGTTGGTCGAGAATTTGGGAAGAATATAAATTTGAAAGTGATCCATATCAGCACGCTTGCTTTTGAAGTTTTCCTTGATGTTTTCTTCACACCATCTTTGTAGATTAACTACTACTTTCGGATTCTCGCGGCGTTCATATTCTATGCAGCCTGTGAGGAATACATAAAAAAAGACTCCAGGTCATGAAAATACGTTCGGGTTATGGATTTTCCAGTTTCTGCAGCATGTTCAAGTCTTTCGAGCGCCATGAATTTCAAGGTGCCGGTCAAGTACAAGTTCTCATGCTTTTCCGAAGTATCTTCGACCTTTACGGCGTGGTCAAGGTCGATCAGTAACCCTCGAAGCCTGCCACCAATGAACGCCAAAATTATGTTGCCGTCAGAGATATCACCATGAAGTACCTTCTTTTGGACAAATAATCATTGGTGGGCCATGATGGCGTCTCTTTATACCTTCGACAAATTCAAGTATCGTCCTGCTGCTATTCAGTCTACGACCACGAGGTGTGACAATTAGTCTGGTCAGCTCTCGATCTTTAATGCGTGGGGGCGTAATCGGTTGCTTTTCACCTTCGCCAATGGCAATAGGATCAAGGCCACTTATATCCCAAGAAGCCGCACTACAAAAGTTGAGACCCTCTAGATGATCACTAGTCTTGCAAATTCTATCTGCTCGGAGATAATTGACAACGCCTTTGGTATCACAGGCGTCTTGCATAAAGTCGATTTCTGATTTTCCTGCAGTCCTGGTCCACGAGTACTTCACAACTGCATTCTTTTCTCCCATTTCGAAGCAAACAGTACCACGTGAGACTAGTTTCCTCGCCTTGAAAATAGGATCAGGATTGATTTCATAGCTCTGAGCATGATCATCTTCCTCATTGCTAAATGATAGGAAAGACCTTCCATTGACATTTCGGAAAGGAGAGTAGATACCAAGTTCTTCATCACTCATGAACAGGTATGATGATATTGCTCTTACCAGCTTGTCTTTATTATCTTTGATAGATAATGGTCCAGAACTATAAGCACCGGAACGATTGAACAACCAAAGTTCAAAGTTATTTTTGTAAAGGCAGAATTCATGTACAAACTGACAAAGTGGCTGTATAGAGAATATTTGCAGAACTGATCTTGATAATTGGAGAAATTTATCCCTCTTCTTATCATTGAAATGCTCTATCATAAACTCACAAAGCACTCTGACATCCTTCCACTGGTGTATTTCATTATTGGCCACATTGATACTCTTGACGAGGAAGTCAACCTGATAATTGTTGGTTGTTCCTTTTATCTGATGATTAGTTGTTGTATGACAATACTTGTTTCGAATCTGCGAGCCTTTGTCCTTCATTGCAAGGGATGGAAACTTTCTTGGGGAATTCGAGATTGGATTTATGAGCTGATTTAAAAAGTTGTCCCGAAAAAAATTGAGCCAGTCCCAAATCTCTTTCTCTGTCATAGATTCAATCAGGATTTTGTTTTTATAAAATAACTTTATTATCATTTTCTCCATTTCTGGTAATTTTGGACCACGCTCTTCATTAGTATTTTCCTTTCTCTGGACTCCTCCTAATTATACTAGAGCGGCACGTTCTTCTTATGCTTCTAGCACTGTAAATACTTTGGGATTTTTTTGTCTTTGGGTTAACTTCATAATTTCTTCCGGACTATACTCTCTAGATAAATATGTCGTCTGAGTTTTTAGTGGATTTCCGCCATTATCTCTTTCCCGTTCTTCGATCTCATCTATTTCGTATCTTTGATAACACTCCCAGATGCGGAGAGTTTGGTCAGACCAATCTTTATCTAGGAAAAATTTTCCCCAGAAATTGTTGAACCCAGTGATTACGTTACCATCAAGTTCATTCTGCAGGGCTAGTTCGATGATCGGGGCTGTGGTGTTATAGCTCAATAACTCATCATTACCCCGCAGGATGGTCTCCTTACTGAGAGAAGGAGTACACGTGGGTCGACTGCTTCTTTGCATGAGGCCGATCCTGTATGGTGGGTTTCGAGCGAAGTCTAGTGCAATGTTGAGTATGTCTACCTCATTTTTCTTTTCTGAGATAGCATTAAAGAGAGATTGAAGTCTGATAAGATCGATCTCATCCTTGGTGATTTTGGTGGCAATAGAAATCAGTTGGTCATGCAGTTGGGTAGAAGCATCGTTATTTTTGCTGGTTAATGCAATAGGTAATAAACTAAAAAATAATGTATTAAAAGCTATTAAATTAGCTTCAGGTCTCTTGGCTTGGGTCTGAAGTTTACCAAATTTAGAACCTCTCATTGTGTACAAATCATGAAACACAATGAGATTATTTGCCAATGGGTTCTTGGCAAGGTATTCACAGTTATCTGTAAATTGAGTCATATTGTACTCTTTTAATAGAAATTGTTGAGTTTGTACATATGGGCCTACAGTGTTTGGTTTCTGGTCGTGAGACTGGTGACCTAGCGCATGCTAATATACCATTAGATTACATGACAGTTAGGTAAGATAACATATTCCTATTGTCAAACCTTACAATGGTGGGAACCCCATCCATTAGATCATTGTTGGAAATACAGTTTCCTGCTTTTATTTCTATCGACCAATGTGGTTGCATGCATCTTGCCTGAACTATATTTCTGAGTTTCGGCAGGATCCTACACTTCTGATCCAATCGGACTCAACGTTAGAGTCTGCTTGAATCCCATTCTTCCCGAACAAATCCAGTCATTGGTTTGTTCGTACTTCTATTGCGTGACCCAGTATTCTCAGTCAGTGGATAATTATTTTCTGGTACGAGGTCCCACTTATTTCTGCAGTCGAGTCGGTTCCGGGTAACCTCTATTTCTTATAATTCCACTGTATATATCATAATACCTGTAGTCTATTAGTCAATTAAGCAAACTGAACTTCTTCTCCGTTCTCAGGCAATTCTTACTCCGAAGTCTTCTCTATACTCTAACAATCATCTATCCCATACACGCACACCATTATACTTATCCTGGTTTCTCATAACCCGTCAAATCGAGCAGCACTATGGCTGCGCACAATCAGCCGTCGTCCTCGGCGTCAATCGACCCAGGCGACCAACTACACCCGAGCCTTCTTGGGATTGCTGCTGCATTGTAGCAATCAAAGCACGAACGAAAGCAGAGAATGAGCCTAGCTCAGGATTTTCTAGAAAATATCGACGCCTGGGCGAATTCCAAGGCAGGAACTGAAGGCGCGACTAGAACCGCGCCTTAATCGAAAAAATATCATCTATAGTAACACCGTTTGCAATAGGAAAGACCGATGCTACAACCCCCAAAGGCAAGACCCTACATCCCGACGTCACGGAGATAACAACCTCTGCGCCTAGGGCGACAAAAAGCAGCGATAAACCGCACCACAAACTGCCCCAGAAGCCACAGGAGACTGCGAACCCGTGGGTTACAGTAGCTCGGAAAGCGGCTAAGCTCCCAGATCCACCCGCGTTCCCCACTACTCGAAGGCACACTACAGATGTAAAGCCTAATGCACAAAACTCCCAAAAGAAGACAAACGTCTCTTTGTCAGATTGGGGCAAGAACATGGCTGGCGCAAATTGTCACCAGTCACAATAAAGAAGATGATCACTGAGAAAGCGGGAGTTGCAGCATCTGCGATCACGGCTATGCATCAGGTTCGATCAGGCCTAGCACTGCAGTGCGCATCAGACGGGCCTCGAGAAACAATACTGGGAGTTGCAGGATTATTTCAGTAAGAAAACATCTACATCGAAGCAGCGTCGGGTTGGACGTCAATGATAGTGCCACATGTACCACTATATATCAGAACACTCGAAGTCAGTATTTCGGTACCTAGCAAAATGGTTACAACAGAATGTCAAGCTAGATGTGGGGTCACACCAGTGCAGGTGCGAACGAGCCTGGCTAGGCTCGGACAATACTCCACAAGCTGAATTATTTACTTCAAACAGAAACCGGCAAACTGTACGTTCAGGCTCTTTGACAAAAGCAGACCTGTAATCCCGTTCGTTTGCCAACGCCATATGGAACAGTGTCAGAGATGCTGGGGATTTCACAACATTCAGTCTTGCACTAAAGGACAAAGGTGCGGAAGATGCGACAGAGTACACGAGACAAATGAATGTCAATTCAAGGTACCTAAATGTGCAAATTGCGCAGGTCCTCACAAATCGACCAACCTGAAATGCATGGCGTGACCTAGGTACCAGAACGGAATATTCCACCCTGCACACCAGCAGAATTAAAAGTTATTCGAGAACATGAATATCGTGACTTTCAGGCTGCACTGGCAGAGTCGGAGAAAAAGGGTAAGGCCCCAGAGGTTGTGTTCACCCCGTGTAACGGCTACAAAGCCGGTATTTCCTGTAGCCAGTACTGGCAAGTAGTGGCGTACAACCACCGGAGAACTGGCAGGCGCAAAAGCCACGTAAAAGATACTAGAATCTCCTAAGAAGGGACTAGAAAAGTCCCCATGTGAGTAAGACTGATACTGAACCTTGGAGAAGCTGCTAGAAATGATACCCTTAGAGTAGCAACTGGAATCATCTAGAAATGAGCTGACCATGGAGGGAAGAACTTAGAATGTAATAAATCTGTATTTATACCTGGATAAGTATGTAGAACTTAGGTCTTCATAGTTGAATTATAAAATACCATCATACATACAAATGCTTCTTGATTTCTATAGTTGATCTGTGACACCCCGGAAGACATGATGCAAAATTAATGAGTTGTACAACCACAACTCATAAACACACCCAACAACAACATGCCCTTCTATTTCGCCAAGTGAACATGGGAAAGGTCGGAGAGAATATGGATATCGCACTTCAGCAGGCATGGGAGGCCGGAGCTCACATTGTCATGGTACAGGAACCATGGACAATGCAAACAAATGGAGGACTTATCACATAAAGTCACCCGGGCTTCAACAGTTACAAGCCAACAGGAGCAGCTGGGATCCGTCCGCAGGCAATCAACTTAGCCCGTAAATGTTTGTTGGCAACGCAAATACTCCCTTCATCCCATGACCAAACCGGCGATTACTGCTTTGTGAAGGCTTGCAGGGTGACATTTTTTAATGTATATTGTGTATCAGGACTTAATGATACCCTTGATCCCTTGCTTAGATGGAGCTCCTCAGGTCTTGCAGTTGTAGGGTGGGACTTCAACGCCGCCTCAGGGCACTGGCAACCACAGGCTACTCATCAGTACAGTAACAGTGAGCAAATAATGGAATGGGCTACAGCTCAGGATATGCATTTACTCACCATTATTGGCGTGCCTATACACAGGGATGGAAATGTGTTGGATATTGTGTGGAGCAAGGTCACAGCAGAGGCATTGGTATCACAGAAGTACAACTGCACTTCAGACCATATGGCTATTGTTGGGTCCATTGAAGCGAGACAAAAGCCCAATATGTCCAGAATAAGTCAGAAACTGCGGCTACGCAATCAAGACCTTGCCAAGTTTTGTCAGAAGCGGCATGTAGACAGCAGTGCAGAGACAAGAATCAAGATAAGAATGCTAGGCAAGAGGTTGCTATCCTACATTAAGCATGAGATAGATGCACAACCACTCGGCTAAAAGGCCAGACCAGAATCATATAACACTAGATACTGATTATCTCCACATATATTGATTATATAGTAGGCATTCCTGACAAGTTTGCCCAGTATGTCAAAGCATGTGTCTCTCAAGGAGCAGTGTTATTAGTATTCCGTAGGGTACGAATTTGGTACAAGTAGATTACAGGTGTGGAGTATGGTGGTGATTCCTAAGAGTAGGAGGTGTAAATTCAGCATTAGGTATAGGGTTCACGTAAGAAGTCAAGGTAAAATAAGAAGTAGGTGAGAAGGGTACAATAACGGCGGTCTTCTTTAGAGAAGAGATAAGTAAGTGAACAATAGGTATGAGTATAAACACAAGACGTTGCGTGAAGAAGAATACTCCTTCACGCTGGGTATATATGTACATCAGATAATAGGACAGCCCTAAGCTCTGTCTCGAACAGTATTACTACGCATTCCCTATGAAACTACCCTATGTTCCTGAGCCTGTCCTAATTGTTTGAGAACTTGATCTAACCCCGAGTTGTGTTTTAGAATGGAACTCCCCATGAGACACCATCCTAGTTTCCGCCACGTTTATCCATGAAAGTGTCACAGTTCGAGTGTTGATGCAGGAGCAATCAAATATACAATGGTAGTTTACTATTTTCACTGTGTCTATCTATACAAGTCCTACCTCAACTATTTATACACTTACTACACTATCTGGAATATTCTTCTTGCCTGTAACCAGTTTCTAGTATGTTCCCTGAGGCTGGTTTGCAGTCCTGCTACTAGTTACTAGAAATTTATAGTGATGTCCCAATTGGTCTATGAAAGAATATTGAGTTTCGAAGATTTGTACAGCATGTGATTACTGTCATGTGACACTGAATAATTACTGGCTCACTAGCCGTTACAGCGTGGGTCAGACCAGGCCTTTTGAACAGTGTAAGTGTTATGAATTCGTTGTAGATAATTTGAATAGGGTGGCGCACGGGCTATTTCGTGAATTTGGTTGGAGCTAGGCAAATGGAGCGTAGATTATGTTGGTTGGAAATTTAGAATTGGCTCCTTAGTTCTAACAATTTTGTTACATGAGACATGACCTTGTACCCTTCAGTACTCAGAATTTAATAAAGCTACTGTTCAACTATTCGTGATTAATCCGCTACCTTTGAACCGTCGCCTCGCCGAAACTGACTCGACCTCTGTAGCTTAACAGCTTCGTAATTCAGCCCACAAGTAAGTTCATAACACTTTGTTAGAACTCTTATTACAGACCTCGAGTCATCTTCGACAAATTTCAATCCCGCTCGATAAATTAAGTTGAGATAAAAAATGTCGACCGGAGAATCATCCACTGCAAATGCTCATTTACTTGAGAGCGAGTGGGATAAGTTAGCTGCTTTAATCGGGGAAATTCAGAGCCAGC